CTGTGCTCCGCGGCGAGAGGGGCCGCCGCAATGAGAGGCCCGTGCAGCGCAGCGAGGAGTAGCCCCCGCTGGCCGCAACTAGAGAAGCTCGCACACAACAACGAAGACCCAACGCAGCCAGAAATAAATTTATAGAAAAAAAAATTGGCTTGAGATCTAATAATTTACACACAATAAAGTGCATCGATTTAATGAGTTTTGCCAAATGTATACAGATGGTAACCATGACAATCATAATATAGAAAACATTCTCATCATCCCCAAATGTTCTCTTATGCCTTTGCTGACAATCCCCTCTGCCAGGCCCCAACCCTGGCAACCGGGGATCTGCTTACTGCCACCGCAGCTCTGCGTGTTCTAGAATTTCATATAAATGGAAATACACAAGATATAACCTTTAACTTAGCACATGCTTTTGAGATGTCACTGAGAATATCAGTAATTGGTTCTTTTCTCGCGAGTAGTAGCCCACTGTGTGGACAGACCTCAATCTGTTTCTGCACTTATGCATTGATGGACATTTGGGTCACTCCCAGTTTTGGACCACACTCACCCGCATCCCCCACCACCCCCTTATCCGAGGCTTTGCTTTCTGCAGTTTCAGTTATCCGTGGTAAACTGCAGTCCAAAAATATTACATGAAAAATTCCAGAAATTAACAATTCGTGAGTTTTAAATTGTGCACTGTTCTGAGTAGCGTGATGAAATCTTGCGCCGTCCCACGTGGGACATGCATCATCCCTTCATCCAGCGTATCCCACCTGTTAGTCAGTTAGTAGCCGTTGTTGTTATCAGATCGACCGTCCAGATATCACAGTGCTTGTGTTCAAGCAAATCTTCTTTTACTTAATAATGGTCCCAAAGCACAAGAGTGGTATGCTGGCAGCTCGGCTATTCTCTTACTGTGCCTAAATTATAAATTAAACTTCATCATAGGTAGGTATGTATGGGAAAAGACAGTATATATGGGATTTGATACTATCCACAGTTTCAGGCATCCACTGGGGTGCTGGAGAGTATCCCCTGTGGATAAAGGCGGGACTACTGTATTACAAATAAAGCTGTTAGGAACATTTGGAGACAAGTCTTTGTGTGAACATAAGTTTTAATTTCTTTTGTGTAGGGATAAGATTACTGGGTCGTATGGTAGGTGTATGTTTAACTTTTTAGGAAACTGTCCAACTGTTTTCCAAAGTGGCTGAACCATTTTGCGACCCTACTAGCAATTTCTATGATGGTTCCGGTAGCTTTAAATCCTTACCACTACTTGGTATTGCCAGTCTTTTCAGTTGTATCCATTCTGGTGGGTGTGTAGTGGAATCTTACTGTGGTTTTAATGCCTCACGATGTGGAGCATCTTTTCACGTGCTTATTTGTCATTTATGCCTCCTCTTTGGTGAGGTGAAGTATTTAAATCTTAAACACATTTTAAATTGGGTTGTCTTATCACTGAGTCGTATGCATTCTTTATATATTCTGGCTATGAGTCCTTTAGCAGATACACAACTTGCAAATTGTTTGGATGAAAAACTTGCCTTTTCATTTCCTTAAGAGTGTCTTCTGAAAGCAAAGATTTTGAGCTTGGAAAAAGCACAATTTTCCATACTTTTGGTATCACATCTAAGAAATCTTTGCTTAACCTAAACTCACAAAGATTTTCTACTGCATAGAAATTTATAGAATTTTGTAGTTTTAGCTCTTATATTTAGGTCTATTATCTAACGTGAGTTAATTTTGTGTATGGCGGGAGATGAGGGTTTCAGTCATTTATTTCCATATCGAATAGAGTTGTCCCACCACTACTTATGGAAAGACAATCTTTTTCCCACTGAATTACCCTGGCACCTTTGTCAAAAATCAATTGACCACACACATATGGGTTTATTTCTGGACTCTCTTCTGTTCTCCTGACTTTATATACCTATTCTTCTTATGGCACTAATACATTTTGATGACTTACAGCCTTACATTAAGGCTCGAAGTCAGATAGTATCAGTCCTTCAACTTTGTTTCCCTTCCTCAAAATTTGAGTCTTTCCACCCATGAAGACAGCATATTCTTTGATTTATTTGGGTCTTCTTTGATATCTTTCATCAGTGTTTTATAGTTTCAGCATATAGATCTTGTACATATTTTGTTAGATTTATATCTAACTATTTCATGTTTTCCGGTGTTATTATAAATGACGCTGTTTAAAAAATTTTCCATTTCCAACTGTTCACTGCAGCTGCACAGAAACAAAATTAATTTCTGTATTTGAACTGTGTATCTTTCTGCTCTGCTATACTCAGCTGTTAGTTGTTTTTTGAAGAGTCCTTAGGGTTTTCCTATCTAGTTGATCTTGTCCTTGGTGAATAAAGAAGGTTTTACTCTTTCTTTTCCAATCTAAAGACTTTTCTTTTTCTTGCCTAATTGCACTGTCTGGGACCTTGCATAGGACAGTAGGTGAATGAAAGTAATGAGCACAATGGTGGTTCCCTGGTTTGATCACTGAGCTGTGGTTATGTGAGAGGCTGTCACTGGACAAAATTACAGCAACACTGTACACAACAGTGTACTGTACACTGTTGCTGTGAAGGGAACACAGCAACACTATTCTAGTTTGGCAACTTCTTTGTGGTTTAAAATGACTTTAAAATAAAAAGTGGGGGGGGGGCGAAAGTGGTGGAAGCTGACTTTCTTGCCTTGTTCCCAGCCTTCGAAGGAAAGTCTCTCACCATGAAGTATGATGTTAGCTGCAGGTTTTTCACAGATGACATTTACCAGCTTAAAGAAGTTCCTTTTATTTCTAGTTTGCTAAGGGTTTCTTTGCTTATTTGTTTGTTTGTTTTTGTTGTTTTTGTGGTACGCGGGCCTCTCACTGTTGTGGCCTCTCCCATTGCGGAGCACAGGCTCCGGATGCGCAGGCTCAGCGGCCATGGCTCACGGGCCCAGCCGCTCCATGGCATGTGGGATCTACCCGGACCGGGGCACGAACCTGTGTCCCCTGCATCGGCAGGTGGACTCTCAACCACTGAGCCACCAGGGAAGCCCCGCTTATTTGTTTTAAAATCGTGAACGGGTACCGGATTTTGTCAAATGTTTTTTCTGTATCTTTTGAGATTATCACACGTTTTTTCCTTTTTCGTCTGTTAATATGGTGAATTATGTGGATTTTAGAATATTAAACCAACCTTGCCTTCCGGGAATAAATCACACTTTGTCATGATGTATTTTCATTTTTATATTCAACTGGCTAAATTTTTGCCCAGGATGTTTGGCTCTATGTTCATGAGCGACACTGGTCTGTATTTTTCTTTTCTCATATTTGTCTTGTTTTGGTATCAGGGTAATGGTGCCCTCACAGAATGAGTTGGGAAGTGTTCCCAGTTCCCAAAATCATGGAAGATTTTGTGTTGGCTCGTTATGATTTCTTCCTTAAATGTTTGGCGCAATTTACCAGTAAAGCCAGTTGCCCTTGGAATTTTCTTTGTGTGAAGGTATTTTATTTCCACTTTACCCACATCTTTTAACAAGTTTATTAAGGTATAATTTACCTGGAAATTTACCAATTTAAAGTGCACAAGAAGACAGGGTTAACATTTGTAAAGAAACTAAGCTCATTTTGTTTCACCCAGTTCTGAGACGACTTTGGGAAATATTTTTTTGCTAGTGACACTCAGGTGTGAGTGGCCGGCAGGCACGAGTCACTGCGAGTCCAGGGTACAGCGGTTACTTAAGGACACAGTCAAGAGCCGATTTTCCATGCCTTCCTCATCCGTGTGCAGCTCTCCATCCTGTTCCTGCTCAGTCCCATGTACTCTGGCTCCCCCCACGACCCCCCGGAACTGTTCTCACAAGGTTCGCCAAGAACACCACGTCTTCCTTGTTGCTTGGCCCGTGGACACGCTCAACCTTCTTACTTGACCTCCTGTGGAGTCTGACAGAAGGGACGAAGCAGGATGGGCACGCTGCCACTTGACCCCACGCTCCCCTGGTGTCCTGTACCAGTGCAGGCCTCCCTTCCTCACCAGTCCCTTCCTTCCGTGTGCCTGAGGCTTCTTCTTAGGACTTCTTAGGGCCCCGCGGGTCCTGCAGAACGATCTCATTCTTTCCTGCAGACTCATCAGACTCCCTAGTGACACCTGGACCAGTCTAGACCTCTCGCCGGGGCCCACCTCACTACCAGTCTTCCAGCACCTCCAACAAAATGGGTGAGCAGCTGCTAAGGAAGAATCAGGTGATTTTCTACTCCCCTCTGTGAATGGATTCACTTACTGTTCACGACAGCTCTGTGAAGTAGCCCCATTATCATCGTCCTTTCACAGTGGAGGAAGTCAAAGGACAGAGAGGTTAGATGATCTACTCACAGTCATACCGCTGGGAAGTGTCAGAGCCAGGACTGGAACCCGGGAGTGACTCAGAGCCTATATATTGTTTCTTTAGGTAAGAAGTGGATTTATTCAGAGAGAAACACACTCCACAGACAGAGTGTGGGCCATTTCAGAGGGCGAGAGTAGGCTCAGAGCCTGTATTCTTTTTTTTTTTTTAGTATTTATTTATTCATTTCTTTGGCTGTGCCGGGTCTTAGTTGCAGCATGAGGCATCTTTGCTGCTGCGTGCAGGATCTTAGTTGCGTTATGTGGGATCTAGTTCCCTGACCAGGGATCGAACCTGGGCCCCCTGCATTGGGAGCATAAATTCTTAAGCACTGGACCACCGGAGAAGTCCCAGAGCCTATATTCTTAACCACTCTGACCAAAAGAGCATCTTCAGACTTGGGGAAAAGTTGGACTGGATGATTCAGTTTCCAAAAAGTCTCCTCGACTGCAAAGGTCCATGGGTCCCTATCCTGTGAACTCCCACAGCACATCAGCCATCCTGTGTCAAGAAGGCTTCTGGCTTGTTCCTTGCCAGGACCCCCTCTTCACCCCCACAGGGAGCGCACCCTTCACTGAGCCCCTGTGTGAATCAGCTCTCATATCCGCTGGGGCAGCGCCAAAAGACAACACAGACCAGGAGACAAAGAGAATACACTTTATTGTTTCCAAAACAATGGCTCCAGTAGGAAGGAACACAATCATTATGCTTACAGCAGCGAATACAGGGGGGAAAGGCTAGCTTTAAAATATTTGAAAATCACTGTGTGAAAATGGTGCTTCTGGGCACCTGAGTCTTGGATCTCAACTCAGTGACTGTCCCCAGTCCTCCAATCTTCCTAATTCCATCTTTGTATTTTTAATATCACACAGCCCTGATGTCATTCATGGATGTTTATCAAGGAGGCGTGTCAGGGAGCCCAGCTGGGCAAAGTCAGAAAAGACTTGGGCCTTCAGACTGTGTCCAATGGGAGCTGAGTTCCAGAGAAACATGTCACGTTCAAAGGTTTGTTTTCTGTTCTTTTGCTGTTTGTTTTACAGTGGAAGAAACAGACAACCAGCACAAGAATGAGGGATCCTTCCTGGGTTCCCTCCTAGCATCTGTATTAAAGTTTCAAAGCGGGAAAAGTCTGCGAGACAGGGGGTCCACACAGTAGCAGCCAGGGCCTACAACACAGCCCTTCCCAGCCATCACGAACCCTACATCCTCCTGAGGGGTGAGGTAGCTTCTGGGCGAGGGGGCGCCGTGGGCTGATGGCAACGGCCCTTCTAGGCTCTGGTCCTGGCTGACCTCTGTCCCAAACCCTCTGCCTTTACCCTGGAGCGTGGAGAAAAGGCCACAGGTACTGAGACACACCAAGGTTTCTGTGAAGAGTTTCCAGGAAGAAGAGGCTGAGGAGAAATAAAAGGCTAGGACAGAAACCACAGGGCCAGGCAGGCCTCGTCCACAGCCTCCAGGGTAAGGGAGCCCCAGTGCCTGGGGCAGGGTGTAGGCTCGCCAGAACCCAGGGCCCCACTTGACTCAGGAAATACAAATTCAAGTTATTCATGCAAGTCTTCCAAGGAAAGGCAATTTCTGATAATTGCTAGAAAACAGCAATGTATCCTTATCCTTATCTTTGTATCCTTTGACCAAGGACTTAGAAAGGGTTGAAAACTTGCCTGACCAACTGTAACTGCTTAATTACCATTTCCTTCACTGCTGGGATTGAATTTATTAACTACAAGACTTTGTTCTGATAAGATTTGCCAATTCCATTTTATAACAAAGGAAATTACTTTAATTAATATAAGTTAATAATAAAACTTCAAAGTGCTACACAGCCGCAGAATTTTCCTGAAGGCAGAAAACGGGGTCGGTCACTTGAATGGAGAAGTTTGATGGGGGCGTAGATGGTGGGCCTGCGTCCCCTCTTGCAGCACTTTGGGCACCTGCGGCGTTCCCGGAGGCCTGCCCTCGCTCTCACGGCCCTGTGATGTCCTGTAGCGTAAACAGGTTCTTTTCCAGGGGTCTGGAGGGGTGGATTTAATGCCCGGGGCTCACGAGGAAGGAAGAGAAGGGGGCAGCCCAGGAGCACCTAACTGGCAGGCCTGCTTCAGACTCACTGCTGTGTTCGCAGAAGGGGCACAGTGCTTGACACACAGTAGGAGCTCAAGAAATATTTATTGAACAAAAGAAGAAATGGAGAGAAAAGAAAGGTAGGTCGGATGGAAGAAAGGGCTGAATCAGAGGATGGGCCCCAAATTAAGATGCCTGCAATGACTAGATTATACCACCAGATGGCAGTGCAGGGAAATGTCCGGCCTGCAGTCCCAAGACCCCCGCCCCTTCCCCTCTGAGAAGCCACACCTCAGGCTGGGACTGAGCTCCCAATTCTGGAAATCTCTAAACCAGGTATACACCTCAGAGTTCCGAGGAAAAAAATAAAAAAGCAAAACTAAACATCACATAAAAGTGCAGTCCTCGGGGTTTTATAAAATTTGAGTCCTGACGTAGCTTAAAACTGTCCACCCCCCAGCCTTGTTCGTCGTCTTGATTTTTCCCAGTTTAAATGAACTCTATGCCCTCATACTTCACACTCCCAATCTTGGTCTCGGGCAGGAGGAAGCGTCCGTCGAGCGTGAAGGCCATGATATAGGTGGCGATCTGGCCGCTGTCCTCCTCGGACTTGAGGGCCACGATGATCTGGTCATCGGTGTTGGGGATGAACTTGAAGGAGGAGAAGCCGTGCGTGGGGACCACCTCCCCCACGTGGCTGACGGAGATGTCGCCGAAGTCCTGCGCAGCACTCAGCAGCAGGTTGGTGCCCCTGCGCTCGTCATCCTCCTCACTGTAGCGCTCATGGCTGGCGCGGCGCGGCAGGAAGAACCAGCGCTGCAGTGTGTCGCTCCAGCAGGCAGACTCGTGGATGAGGTAGCCTGGGGACACACAGACCAGTCACCGCCCACCCTCCCCAGAGCCAGGGCGGCCTCGCCCCTGCACGCAGACCCTCGAGCGGCCCGGCACCAGCAGCGTCACCGTCATCTTTTCTTTAGGTTTCCATGTGCCTTTGCTCCCACCTGTCCAGAGTGACTGAGCCCGGGACAGCAGCACAGAGCCCGCGGGGCCGCGCTGAGTCTCTGCTGCGCCACTCTCTGGCCACCCTTCCTCGCCGGCTTCCCCAGCGCTGCCGAGTAGCCATGGCTGCAAGGTCTGTCTGTATTTCGCCTCCTTGGTGCTACTCAAGTGGCACAAAGGAGAGCGCCAGGGGAAGAGGCACAAGGAACACGCAGGTCCGATCTGTGAAGATGGATCAGGGCAGGTGGGGAGAGGCTGCCTCGAAGCAGAAAAGTATGGGAAGTGAGCCTATCTGGGCGTGAAGCCATGTCCTCAGTCACATGCCCCAGGCCTAGAGGTGACCAGGCCGCTCTAAGCACCACCATCCCCACTACAAACCATGACTCTTGGAAACGAGGGCAAAGAAGCAAAGCTCTGTGCACCTGCTCCCACCACGTCAGATGCGAGGCCTGACCCCAGGGTGGCGACCGGGAGGACGCTGTAGACGGGGCTGCTGTCTGAGCCTGCCAGGCCGTCTGTCTGGGTGAGTCGGGGTGAGAGAAAAAATGTCTCATTGGCCCCTGAACCCAGTGGCCTGGTGGGAGCAACCGTCAGAGACAGCTGAATCGTCAAACAAGGAAGAAGCGAAGCCCATGCTCGGCAAGCAACACGTGGAGGCCGCATGCTCGCAGCCACCCGTCTGCGCAGCGCCCGCTCGCGGGCCTGGCTCTCACCTGGCGGCCGGATCCCAGCAGCAGCCCGCAGGGCGTTGTAGCTGGACACCCAGTTCTCGTGGTCCACGCTGCCCCTGCAGCCCACCACCTTCACCCACTCCGGGTTCTCGTTCAGCACCTCCCCCGTGGCGGTGGTCCATTCCTTGCCCAGGCCGCCCACATACAGATGCTCGTCCTTCACAGCCAGCCACTCAGCTTTGAAGCCTGGGGACAGGGAGACAGGGGGCGGGCCTGAGGCGACGGCCAGCCCTCTGCTGGCCTGGCTCTGTGTGTCTGGTCAGGCAAGAGCAGAGAGCCCTCTGGGTCCGCAGCCTTGGGTGTCAGAGGTCCCTCGGGGCGGCGACAAGAGAGCAGAGGCCAGGCCAGCCTGCTGGGAGCTCCACCCCAGAGGGTAGGCGGTTGGGATCCTCTCCTTAGCGCTGACCCCACGGCATTCACGAGGCGCAGATGGGCGCCACCTCTGCCTGCTGCCTCTCCCTTCTCTCTCCCGGCCCTCCGGAGCCCCCACATCTTCCTCCCAAACTCACCCCAGAAACCCTGCTGGGACCACCCGCCTCACAACCCACGTGAACCCTGCTGCGCCCTGCACAGCCAGAAAGGCCCACCCTCCACTCACAAATCTCCGCGGACCCCAAGCTCCCTGTTTCTCGAGCCGTCAGCCCCGACTCAGACTACGCCCAATCCTAGGAAAGTGTAGGGAAGTGTCAGTCGCACAGAACGCGCCTGCGGTCCTTGAGGCCACACCTGACACATCCCTGAGTCAACTATGTGCAGGCGGCCAGAGCTAAGCGGGGCTTGGCGCGGGGGCTCACGGTAGCCACGCCAAACGGCATTTGTTTTCTTAGACGGATTTACTTACTATGAGCTTAGTTTTGAAGGCTGTGTGGGTGCTTTGTTCTTCTAGCGTATTCTCACCTGTTCCTACACCGTGCTCTAAATTGTGCTTGCTTCGCAAATGTTTTGCAAATTTCCTGCCAGCCCGAGGAGCTGGGGCTGCAACCCTCCCTGCAAGATGCTTCTCTGCAGGTGGCTCTGGATGACGGACCACAGGGCAACCCTAAGCTCCCTTTATCCAAGGGGCAAACAGAACTACTGGATGGTGCCCTACACGCCCTGACAGCCTGAGGCAGGAAGCGGACAGCCAATGCTTTCAATAAAACGGTGGCTGAGATAGTCCTGCCAACCTGCCCAGACTTGAGCACACTTGGGAGAGATTTTTATCACCAGGAGAGGGGGAGGAAGAGGGGCGGGGTAGGGCCTGGCAGCGGCCCAGGGAGTTAATGCGATTCCTCCTTTGACCTCAGGCGCCTGCGGTGGAGTTTGGCTTTCTAGAAGGTGCGGACCCACCCGAGGGCACAGTCATGCGCAGAAGTTGGTGCCAACTCTCCTGCCGCCCTGTCCGAAGGCTCTGGGCACTCAGGCTCCCTCTCGCAGCTCTCCTATCCACCTGCTGGCAAACAGCAGAGCAGTGGGGCACAGCCGATGCCAGAGGTCCAGATTCCACTCAAGGGGTGGGGGGCGGTCACTGCTGCTCACACAGACCTTCCTTCTGCTGGGTTTTCAGAAAGGAGACGTTTGCTTTTTAATAAAGTCTTCGTTCAAAATGAGAAAATCTGACAACCCGGCTTTAAAGGTGAGGCATGTGGAGGGTGCAGGACGCAGAAAGGGGTGGTTCCTGGCGGCAGTGAGAGCAGCGGCGGCGGAACCCAGCCCCGCTCCTGGAGAGGCCCTGCCTCCCCCGCAGGCCCCCAGCAGAAGCTCGCGCTCCTGGACACAGATTTGGTCCGAGGTCTCGGAGGCTTCTGCTCACGCTCTGGGGGCCGCAGGTCAGAGGCAGGGAGGAGACTAGATCTCCCTGACGTCCCCTCCCTCTGGACCCGTGACTGCTTCACTGCACACGTGTGCAAACCAAGCCCGCTGAGGCTGACCCAGGACCTGTCCTCTAGCACTGCAACGAGCCCAGGGGACAGATGGCCCGACTGACCTTTCCCCACGGTTCCGTCGCCGTCGGACAGGATCACCCAGGGCACGGCCTTGGAGCCTTCGATCTGGTAGACAACACCTGTCCGGTCATCCACGGAGTAGAGCTTCCCATTGAAGACAATCAGATCCGACAGCTCCATGCCCCGCCCCTTTTCCGCCAGGTGGGACTCCAGGACCTCGCGGCCTTGGTCCCACTCCACGGCCACCCTGTCCCCACTGTCTGACAGGGTCAGATAGCCCTTCTTCAGGTAACTGACCCAGGTGTTTTCCTCCTGGGCCCTTGACTCCGTGTCCAGGTCGGCAATGACAGCGATTCTGTACCGAGTCCCGCCCGGTGTCCTCTGGGGGGCTGATAGGGGGTAGGTGTCATTGTACCGGTCAGCGGATGCCTGGCCGAGCCTCCAGTTGTGGGCATTGGGCACGGGGGGCCGGCCAGGAGGAGGGCGGTGGGCATAGAGCAGCCAGAGGACGGCGGCACCCAGGAAGGATGGCAGGATCACCTTCCAGCGGGGGCGGAAGCGGGGGTCTGCGGCCTTGGTCATGGACGCCAGCACGGGAAGGCCCCCCACGCTGATCCGGAGGGAGTGCATAGACTCATTCCATTCCAGGGGGTCGGAGGGCTGGACGGGCATCAGACTGAAGGGCAGGCGGGACCTGCAACCCAGGGGGAGAGGAGAAGTCAGCGACGGGCCAGGCACAGCGCTTCCCGCTTCTGTGAGGGCACACGGTCTGAGGCCGCCTCAACCAGGGTAAAGAGCACTGCCGCGACTCTGTGCCATTACTACTCCCGTGGCTTAAGTAAACCCCGACTCTAGCAGTATCTGTGTTTACTCTTATTCAGCAAGAAGAAAAGTCTTTCCAAAGCAATGTTATTCCATCTCCTCTATCCCAGCTGGCAAGACAGAAAGCTCGGTGAGAGAAGGTTCCGTGCTTTGCAATCTTGCGGGAGGGGCAGCACGTGCTGGGGAGTGGGGTGGGGGTCAGGCAGGACAGGGTAACAGAGAGAGTACAGGTCTGTATTTTAATCCAAGGTCACCTCAGCCGAGAAGCCCTCCCTGACGGCTCTGCTCCCGACGACGGCACTCTCCATCCCCTTCCCTGGCATCTGTCACCACCTGACATCATGTTATAGTTATCAGTTTGTTCACCTGTGTCCCCAACTCCCAGAACAGTGCACAGTGCAGACGCATGCTCACTGAGTGAGTGAGCTGTTACTTCCTCCTGGGTTACGTTTCTGTAACATTCAAATATAAGTATAAAACACATTCAATCCAAACAAAAATAGTTCTGGTTTTGGCAACGTCCGTCCCCTGGCGTCTTTCTGTAATGCAAATGGCTGAGGGACCAGAGTCTGAGGGGCCCTCACCGACTGGAGCCCAGCGTGTCGGCTCCAAGGACAGCGTGCTCGCCACAGCCCATTCCCTGGGCACAGCTCGAGGCACAGCTCCAGAGCGGGTTGTAGCGGCCAGGAACAGCAGCTCCTGTCCCCGGCATAGAGCACGCAGCTCAGCGAGGCCACAGCGGCACCAGGCCGGCGCTGTCTCCGGGGCGGAATCAGCAGAACGCCAGCCCTCGGCCGCTCTCAGTCTCGGCCTCCAGCTGTAACTCAGTAGGTCTCAGCCTGAGAAACTTCCCTCGGGCCACGGAGCATTTCTACCTTGGCCCCCAAAACAACCAACCGTGTGACTTTCCGTGCAGATGCCCCTCCCTCCACCAGGCAGCAGCTGGGAAGGCTGTGGGGTCTCACGGGGATCTGGCGGCTCTGTGTCACCCCCCACCCTTTGCCCCCCCAATGCAGAGCATGCGGCCCCGCTCCTAGGATGGAAAATCACAGCAACGGGTCCACATGGAAACCAGGCCTTCCCCTTCCCTTGCTTTTTGGACATTCTTAGGTTTCGGCCACAGGGTCAAGTGCAGAAAAGTGACTTCTAAGGAGGAAGCAAGACGCGTGGGGCCCTGCAGAACGGCCTCGGAGCCTTCCTCTCCTTCCCTGGGCACTGGCTCCCAGCTCCCCTCCTGGGAGAGGGCTCCCTCCTCCCCCAGGAAGCAGCCCCCCAAGTTGCCATGCAGCTGCAAGCTGGTCGCTGAGGACTCCGCGGGAGAAACCGGAGTCCCAGCCCCTCCTCTGGTCTCGCCAAACCGACGCTTCAAAAGCACAGCCAGGCCAAAGCTGCCCTGTGTCCACGTCCAGCCCAGCGTCACCACTGAGCTCTCAATGCCTGCATCTCACTTCCTAGTCAGAATTCTGCCTGGATTTCTAACATGCACTCGCCCACAAATCCTCCCCCCACAGGAAGAGGTGGTGATGGAGGACGGCCATAACTGCAGTTGCCCGGGTCAAAACTTTCATCGAAACCTTGGGAGGTGGAACTTTCCACCTGAACATACTTTGACAGTAAGTTATGAACCACCACCACCTCGAAAAGCCTAGGCACAGCCCTGGTTCCCCTCCTCGCAGCACCTGCTCCGCCAGCAGGCCCTAGCGATCCGGCCACCCCTCTCCTCCCCATCGGCTCCCATCTGCTCTCACGGCCCTTCTCACTGCAACCACACAGGCCGCCCTCCAGCCCCTGCTGCCACTCCCCTCCCTGACAGCCACTGGTGCCCCGCAGCCAGCGACACCTGCTATTCAAGCCAGTCCCTCTGGCCACGTCATTCCCTGCTTCGTGAGCAAACCCTGGCTACTTACACGACCCCTGCCAGCCCTCACCCCTCCCCAGCGACTGGCCACGCCAGCCTCCCTTCTGTCCCGACGGCCCAGCCGGCCCTCGTCCCCCAGACAGGGCTTGCCATCCTCCCGCCCCGGCTCCTGGCTGTCTCGCTTTCACCTCCTCAGAAGGACTTCCCTGCCCACCCTGTGCCCGCCCACCCTCTACCCCACAGCATCCAGGGCTGAAGGAGTGAAAAATACACCCACTTCCTGAGCAGCCCCTCAGCGTCTTGCCCCTGAGCCCCACCTTAGTTACGCGCAAGCCCATGGCCCTGGATCAGTCCCTGATGGTCGAGTTGCCTCCTGGTCACAGAGCCGCAGGTGCAGTGGACACAGTGTCTGCCAGTGAAGATGTGTCGCCATTGCGATGTGGCGTCCTCACCGCCCCCGGTCAACCCTCTCCCCGTCCCTGAGTCACTATCCTCACTGTCACCAGTGATCCTGTCCCATCTTCCGCCCACTCGCACCCAGCAGAGAATCTGAGGCCACGGTCCAGGAGCCAGTGGAGCCCGCCGGCCACCCAGCCCTGGTCCGGGAGGAGCGCCTCCTGCTCAGGCTCAGTGCAGCCCTGCCTCCTCATCTGGTTCCTTCCCGCCGTCTGGACTGGTCCAAATCTCCCATCCGAGTCACCGCTCTATCTCCAGATTACACTTGCAGGTACACTGAAAGCGCTCAGTATGTTAATGGATGAAGGTGAACCCATGAATCTACGAATGAATGGAGAGCCCGCCCCCACCCTGTGACACCTCTGTTCCCCCCCACCCACCATCCTGGAACAGCATTCACTCTCCCGTCCATGCCAGGGTCTGCCCCCTGCCCCCGGAGATGACCCACCGACAGGCCTGCTCTGGGGGCCCAGCCCCGAGATCAGCCCGTAGGGTGTCTTGTTGCACCTCCTGCCAGCAGGCACAGGGATGTGAGTTGTGACCTGTCTGTGGTCCTCCTCCTGCCTGTCTCTTCTCAGCCCCCAAGGCTGGCTCCTTCCCTGCCACCCACCTCTTCTCCTGAATCCACACCTTCCGAGCCTGAATCTTCCCCCGGAATCCAGGCTAGGAGCCCAGCTGCCGAGCTTCCTGTGGCCGGAGCAGGTTCCCCTCAGGAACATACTGCTGGCTGAGGGCACTCCCAGCCCTCAGGGGCCATCCTCAGTCAAAATCACTCACTTCCTCACATCCAGGCAGGTGCCAGGTCCCCTCACCCGTCTGTACCCCAGCTCTGGATTCCCACCCCCACGGCCTCTGCCCTGGTCCTGTCTCACCTTGGCCTCCTGATGACCCAGACCGTCCGGGTCCAACCTGAGTTCTGCCACTTACCAGCCGCATGACCTCAGACAAGTGCCCTGGCTTCTCTGGGCCTCCGTCTCTCCACGTGTGGACTGTGTCTGTGACGTGCTGGCTTCCCACGCCACGGCCGCTGGCTCAGATGCTGTAGGCCTCGGCGCTGCCTGCCTGCCACTGGCTGGCTGCTTTGTTCCCCACTTTACTAGCACCTTCGCCCACCTGCTGGGGGGGGGTGCGGCTTTGCAGGCAAAGCTGGCTAGGTGCCTGCCCACCCCTGCAAGCACCAGGCATGGCTGCAGAGTCAGTGACCTGGACAGCCTGCAAAGCTGAGAATACCCATGCTCTTTCCCCCCCAGGAACAGATCCCCAGGCTAGACCCTCCCCAATCTATCCTGCACACAACTGACAGAAAGATTTTCCTAAAAAGTGAAGCTTTACTAGCCCCCAACGCCTTCCTGCTAAAGGACAAGCTCCGCAGCCTGCAGGGAAAGCCTCATCGCCTCGCGTGCGCTCCCCACACACAGCATGTTGTCTGCGATCCCACGATCCGTGTGCTGAAGCCCTGCCTGGGATGCCTTCTCCACCCGGCCACACGGAACCACCTAGAAGTCCCTGGCTGTCCCATGAGAGTCATGCCTCCGCTGTCCCTTCCCCCTCCTGCCCTGCGTCTATGAAGTGCCCTTCCCCCACCAGTAAGCGTCCCTCCTGCGGGGGGGCTGACACTGGTCCCAGAGGCACCCAGGTCGAATCCCAGAACCTGTGACTGTCTCCTTCTACGGCAACAGAGACTCTGCAGATGAGAGCAAGTCAAGGGCCTTGCAATGGGGAGATTATCCAGGTGGGGCCGCAAATGCGACGTGTCACGGAAGGGAGACAGAGGGAGACTCGATGACTAAGAAGAGGCCCACAGCCAAGAAACGCGGGGGACCCCCAGAAGCTGGAAAGAGGAGAGGACGGATTGCCCCCTGGCGCCTTCAGTGGGAGCGTGGCCTTGCCCACACCATGATTTCAGCCCAGTGAAATGACATTCAGATGGACTTCTGGCCTCCAGAACTACGAGGGCCAGTGAAGATGTGTCACCATGTGTTCTTTTCAGCCAGCAAGTTTGTGGTGATCTGTCAGGGCAGCCCTAGAAACCAACGCACCCCTGATGTGCCTGCCGCGCCTCTGTGTGAGGCCTCTCTCTGGGCAGGGGCTCTGCCATCTGTCTGGCTGCGATCCGGTCCACAGCCTCCCCACTTGACTCTGAGCCCAGGAGCGAAGGGGCTCTGCTCAGTCAGGTTGGCTCCCAAGACCTAAGGACACCTGGGGTTCGATCACCTTTTGTTAAATAAACAATCATTCAACTGCTCTCAGTGACAGGAGAACTCAGGCTGCCTTCCAGAAAATCCCTTTAGCTTCTCCACTGGATCAAAGCCCGACCTTGGTCTCCATCCCTCCTTTAGGATCCCAAGGAATTACTTTTATTTTGTAGAAAAGAAAGTTTACAATCACATGCATTTTCACGCCATGCCACAGTCTGCTGGTTTATCACCTAAAACTGATGGCGAGCTGCCTGTAGTGTCTTGTTGCTGGAGGTCTGGTGCCAAGCGAGAGCTTGCATTTTCATTAAAAAACCAAACCAAACCAAACCAAACCAAACCACGAGAACCAAGAGAAACGAGCCAGCGCAGGTGAGAGGTGAAATGGACAAAGCTGTCCCCAGTAGGGCCGGGCTGACGCTTCTCCCCCTGCCCACGCACCTCCAAACACTACGCAGGTTAAATGTCTGCTTTAGTGTAACAAAAGTTTGTCAGTCCCACTACGTGCAGCATGATGGGCTGACTTTATATAACCCGGGAAACTGGAACCGAGTTGCTGCAGTAAAAAGTCACAGGCTCTTTCACCAGCCAGGCTCGCCCGTTGAGGGGCCCTGCAGCCAAGTCCTCTCCTGCTCAGAAACCCCAGGGCACGGCACCCCTGCTGGCTTCCTTCTCCATCGCCAGCCCCACTGCAACATCCACAGAAAGAAGTCGCTGATTGTCAAGGGGCAACAACCATCCAGGAGGCTCGAGTCCTAATTTCCTTCCCGGTCCCCCCTCTTTAGGGTGGGTATCAAGAACGGCTCACTGACACTCATGCTTTTCCGGTTTCTGTCAAACTTCCTTAGAAAACAGGCCTGAAACAGCCAGGGGTGGCATTGGGGTCTGTCCACTTGCTAGTGGGTTCCCAGGCCCAAGGAAGGCGGTACGACCTCTTCCTGCATGTCTGTCCAGGGTGACGCCACCTCCCCAACCCAGAAGCAGGAGCCCCTCCAAGGTCTGGTTACGGTTAAGAATGAGGACGGGCTCCGACACCCCTACCTCCACGGGCCATCCTTGCGCCTTTCGCCACTGGACTTAGCAGGGCTTAGACAAAAGCGGGCGGCAACTCTGGACACAGCTGAGGGCCTCTTTCTGTAGCTTCCTTTAGGAACACGGGTGTGACAGGTGGCAGGGCAAACAGGTTTAATGACAGCTGCCAGGGCAAAACTCCTCCCCTTCAGGATCTAGGGAGGCAGGAAGCTACAGGAGGACCCTCCCAGCTCCCTGTCGCCCAGAGTGGCGGCCACTCTCCTCCCAGCCTCTCACTCCTGCAGAGCAGCTGCGTTCCCTTCCCTGCCTCGGTCTCTGATCTGAAGGGTCCCGGAGAGCGGCATCCAGACAGCAGACGGGCCTCAGAGTTCCTGCTCTGCTCACTGCCCAAGGGCACTTCCTGGTTAGAAAGTCAAGAGCTAATCCCGTCGACATCACTGACTCTTTGGGGCTGCAAAGACAGAGGCCAAGGGCTTCAAAGCCGCAGTGAGACAGCATCTCATAGGATGCGGGTGATGTGTCTCAGCTCCTTGAGAATGTGACCTGATTCATGGCATTCTTCTGTTCTGGACTCGCCAAGGCTTACTATTTTGTATTTGAAAAGTCCATTTCAAATTTGGACAGGGTGGGCAGCAGAAGGAAACCAGGGAGGAAGGAAAAGGTCCCAGTAGTCCAGTATGTCCTTTAGGGACTCCTCAGGTCAGGGCTGACTCTGCGTGCTACCTAACTCTGCACCTCCCCTGACTCCTCTCCTTCTCTGCAAACAGGCATTCACAACTGCTTACTGAATCCAGTTAAATACACTTTGAGATAACTTAGTTTTCAGCCCTCTGTCTTGTTTTGAAGTCGCTACCCAAGAGGAGTGAGTTCGTTTTCTGCTGCTGCTGTGACAAATCACTGCAGACTCAGCAGCTTAAACACCACAAACGTTTTAGTCTTGCAGGACAGAAGTCTGACGTGGGTCTCACTAAAATCAAGGGCTGTGTCCCCTCCTGAGGGGCTGGTGGAGAATCTGCTTCCTGGCCTTTTCCAGCTTCTCATGGCCGTCCACATTTCACGGCCCCCTCCTCCACCTTCAAAGCTGGCAATATTGCATCTCTCTAGCCTTCCTGCCATCATTTCCCTCTGAAGTTCTCCTGTCTCCCTCTTCCACTTTTAAAGACCCTGTGATTACACTGGGACCACCTGAATAATCCAGGATGATTTCCCTATTTAAAGGTTGCCGGTTAACAAGCTTAATTCTGTCTGCTACCTTAATCTCCCTTCGTCACGTGATATATTTGTAGATTCTGGGGGGTCAGGATGTGGACACCTTGGGGGGGCATTATTCTGCCAACCACAAGGAGGGAGACAGGGAAAGAACCTCCAGCTTTTCCCAAGGGGCAGGGCCATTCACACATGGCTCTGTCTCTGGGGCAGGCGGCACAGTGTCAGGTCCATCCACAGTTCTGCAGTTATCCCACCACAATAGGGCTGCGTGAGCTTCAGTTGTATCGTTAATGTTACACTTGGAGGATTTTTAGCAAAAAGTTATCTTCCCAGTTGGAAGTGAGGTCCCAAACAAAACCACACATCATTGGGGTTGCTTCCCAGAGAGCCCACAAATATGGGGACACAATCACCCCACGATCGACCTGAGTCAGGGCTTGCTCCCACAGTGGAGGTGCACTTGCAAGAACCCATCTTCTCCCCCACTTTTCTCAGTGGCCATCATCACTGGGACTCATTCAACCCTTGGGACCCCTTGGAGCCCTTCTGGGTGGGCTCCAACCTCACCCTCACTCTCACACCACCAGTAACCGTAGCTGCATCTGGTCTGGCCTCGTCTGCACACTGCCATCTGGAGCCCTACTCCGGCCTCATTCCCCACGACCCATCCTGCCGGCTGAGCACGAATGGAAGTAGGGCTCTGCTTCAGAACCTGGAGCTGTGAGTTCCACTTAATGACTGGACTTACTACAGAGAAACACGTAGGATTCAAAAAAAAAACTGTAGAAAAAGAGAAAACCGAACATCTTCCCAAACAGATTTCTCTATTATCAGGATTATTTTTTCCTAATTGATCACCTTGGTCTAATAAAAAGGAAAATCAACATAAAAGTCCTTAAAGATCAATATGAAAGTTTTAGATTCCCCTAATGTTGGCAATTAGTAAGATCTTTCCGGGAATCTCCACAGTCCGGAGTGTTACTGGAGGGAAAAGAATAATCACTGGCTTTTTTTTTTTTTTCTGTGTCCTAGGTACCATTCCACAAACATCTGAACAATAGAGAAATGACTTCCTTATCATAGTGCAGAGCTATTTCAGGACTCTGGACCACATTCCCAGAGCTGAGATACTCTTGTTTTTGAAGGAGAAAACACTAGGGCATTGATCCACCTACCCCCCCCCCCTACAGCTGCCATGAGGATGGCCACATTGCTGCCTGGGAAGTCCCGCGACTCAGATGAAAGGGGCGTGTGTCTGCGGCAGCCTCCAAGTGCTCACCTCAAAGGCCACATTCAGGGAGCGGGGTGGACACAGCCGCTCCTCCTGCACCCTGGGTCCCTCCTCCCTGCCTCTGTGGCTCGGGAATGCCTGGCACATGCTCAGGGTGCCGTCAGACCGGCATGTAAAAAATCCCTCAAGTATCAACGGCTTAAAGTCTATGACACTGCTGTGGGCTATGAAAAAAAGGTGTGACCTACATTTGGTGAACATCTTTAGGGGGAAGATAGGAGACTTTCAGCTAACAGAAGGTATCAAACGATCAGATCATATGGTGGCACAAAGTATACTCGCACGCACGGGATTTCCTCCACCACCCTGTGACGTCACAGTGCCTTCTGTGAGCAGATGAGAAATTTGGATGAGAAAGAGTGAGAAGACAGAGAATCCTGTTCCCAGACCACTGCAGTGGCCTCATGACAGCTCCTGAACAAATCTACACTTCCCCTGAGTCCTCTCCCGAAGACACTCTCAGGACAGCCCCTACCAAGTGCAGAGGGAGGGGCTGGCCAGTCAGTGTGCCTCTCAGGCCGAATAGAGGGCTCATTGAGGCCGGCAGGGAGGGGCCCCCCGGGGAGGCTGCTGGTTGCTCTGGGAGGTGCCCCACCATGCCCACAGGCTCAGGCTGGGCCGTTCCACTGAGAGGCCTGTGGGGTGGGGCTGGGGGCTGGAGGAGGGCCCACAGCCTAATCCAGGAAGATCTTTCTCAATCAAGCTCCTCAAAGGGAGAGGAGGGAGAGGCTGCAGAGACACCCCCCGCCCCAGGCTCCTGAAGGACTGCAGCACTGGCTTCCTTCTCATGGACCCCCTGTGACCCCACGCTTTGGTCAAGTTTTGGTCCTTACACTGAAGAGCCAGCAAGATTCAGTCGACACCAGGAGATGCGCGCTCCCAAACCTACAATCTGTTGAGAACGTGGTGGGAAAAGATGTCAAGCACATACCGCGAGATAGGCAGGCAAAATGGAGCAAGAGTGCTAAGGGACACTGGTCTCCTGGGGGACACGCAGGTGCCCGGGAAAAGATGTGCCTGGCAGACAGAAGGGTGAGCGCAGGTGCAGGTGCCTGCCAAGCCTAGGGACATGAGGGCAAGGGAGAGGCACCAAGCGGCAAGGATGGGCAAGAGGTGACTGTCCCAGGGATGGTGCCCATCCAGGCCAGATGGAGGCTGGGAGGAGGGGAGAGGGGAGGATGCACAGTTTGGGTGCAAAAGGAAGAGAAGTGCTGAAGGGAAGGAGAGGAAGGCCTGCTGGGGTGGGGAAGGCTGGCCTGCTGCAGGTATGACAAAGTGCCAGTCAGAGAGGGGAGGGCTCCCTAACTGGTTAGGAGAGGCCCTGCGTAGGTCAGAGGAGCAGCAATGAAATCACAGCAGGCAGGGGAGGGTCGTTCTCAAGGATAGTTAAGCGTCAGAAAGGAAATGCGTCCTTCAGGGTCAGAGGGGGTGATGTCCCACCCTAGTCAGAGCGGGGAGGTGTCCACAAGTCGGGGGTTGGGGCGGGGGGGAGTCTTGCAAGTCTGAGAGGGAGGAGTCCTGCAGTCAGAAAGGGTAGGAGTGCCGCCGTCAGACGGGATAGGTATCTCATAAGTCAGAGGGGGGGAGGTGTCCCGCAAGTCAGAGGAAGTAAGAGTCTTACAAGTCAGAGAGAGGAGGTGTCCGCCACCAGTCGGGAGAAGAGGACAGTTTCTCAAGAGTCAGAGGGAGGCGTCCTACCACAGTCAGCGAGTCAGGGGGCAGGGGCCCCGCTCAGTCAGATGGGGAGGGATCCTGCGGGGCCGGGGTCGGGACGCGGCGGGGTCGGAGGAGGCGGCGGGCGCCGGCGGCCGCGGGCAGGCCGTCACTCACCCGGTGCGGGCTGGCTCCGGGGCCCGCGGGCGGCGGGGCCTCGCTGCGGGAAGTGCCGGGACCTAGCGAGCGGCCGACTTCCGCCCGGCGTGCTCGCCCCGCCTCCGGGCAACACGCTCCCGGCAGCCTCTGCTCTGCGGCTGCGCGCCGGTCGCCGAGTCGGCTGCTGGGAGTTGTAGTTTTTGCTGCTCAGCGAGCGGGTCCGGGAGGAGGAGCCGCCGGCCAGGGGATAGAACGGAGGGAGGGGCGCTGGAGTCTGCGCCCACCCGCAGGCTATCTCCGCCGCGTTATTCCGGAACGTTGGCCAAGGCAAAATGGGAAAGGGGTGGGATGAAGGCTATGAGGAAGGGGTTATCATTCCTCGAGCTGAAATTACAGGACCCCTCTCCTGGAGGCAGAGAAGCGTGGGCCCCTTTCTGCCACCCTCATTCTCGGAGAGCCCCTCTCCTTGGCTCTTCTGATCGGCCACATCGGAATGTTGATCCGTTTCCAAAGCAAAGATCAGATCTACAGGCTGTACTGTCCTGGGAGGTGGAGGGTCCTGGGGATGGGGTGGAGCTTTCGCTGCCACTGGTTGGCAATCAACGAATCCTCTCCCAAATCAGGGTCTCTGATTCATCTCGTTTTGCCAGTCTCCTCCCCAGCCCCCGGGGCTGTTTTAATGGAAGTGTTAAAAGGTATCCTGGCCCTTCACCCCCCATGTCCTGCAATGTGCCTATTTCAGAAATCCTGAAAAAACCTGGTAGCAGTGGCGCGTCACCCAAGAGCTTGACTAGGAGGGTGCCTCAGTGCTCTGCAGGTCTGCACCTGATTCAGCCTTTCGCTGCCTGCAAACAGCCTCGTGTCTCCCAAGAGCTTACAGATGCACAAGGGAAAAATTCAAATTATATAAATGGTGCACAGTGAAAAACAACCCCCGGTCCCGTTCTGCATTCCCTGCCCAGAGGCAATCACTATTACTAGTTTCTTCCTAGAGGTATTTTATGACACACAAACTAATCATAAACACATATATTAAATTACCTTATTAAAAAAATGGAAATGTGCTGAACATGGTTCTGCATTTTTTTTGGGGGGGGGAACCTTATTGAATTCATTTGTTCCATACACCATATATACTGTTATTATTGTAAATTCTTCAAATCTTTTATTTATTAAGATATCTAAATCTATATATGCCTCCCAGCTTAAGAACTAAAACCTTAGCCCTGTTCTCCTGAAAGCTCTTTTGCTACTCCTCCCTCTTCCCAATTCCCTCCCATCCCAAGAGGTAATCACAATCTTGAATGTTGCGTTAATAATCATTCTCCTGCTTGATTTTATAATTTTAGCAAATAGGTATGTATCCCTAAACAACATATATACCTATTATAACTTTTACAACAATGAAATAAAACTCTATGCAGTGGATGAAAGATCAGGTCGCTCCAGAGGTATTATCAGGTGTATTAATTTTGCCCACTGATGGCATTAAATGTCTTTTCATTGCCTGATTACTGAGAGTTTGTGTTTGTTTCTTATATTTTTCGGTCGTTTCTATTTCTTCTTCTGGAGATGCCCCAATATCTCTGTGCTCTTTTTAGGAAAGAATCCATCTTCCAGCATTAATATGTATGCAATGCCAGTTTTGTCATAGATCAAGTTTCCATATACACATGGGTCTGTCTGGGGGCTTTCTGTTGTACTGATATAATTTCTCATAGTAGCTCCAATATCACTTTCCTCATCATTACCTCTTTATAATAAGCCTTCATATGTTGCAGGACAATTCCCCACTCCCTCCCGCTATATCCCACCCACCCCAGCCTTTTAGGATTTTGAATGGGATTGCTTTGAATCTGTAGATTAATTGGGAGAGAATTGAGATTTTTATGGTGATGAGTCTTCTACCCACGAGCATGGTTTGCCTTTCTATTTACCGAGGTCTTCTTTAAGGTCTTTCAATAAGGTTTGTAATTTTTCACTTCACATTAATGCTTGTTCCATATCATTATATAGAGAGCTGCTTCATTCTCTAGAGAGCCACGTGGTATTCCGCTGTGTGGATGTCCTGTAATTTCTTTTACCAGGCCCCTAATGATGTCCTTTTAGGCTATCTGTGATCTTTCTACATTACAGTGATGCTTCCGGACAAATCCCAGAACTTACTTATTTGAGCACAGTTATAAGTATATCTGTAGGATAAATTCCTAGAAGAAAAATGATTAGATCAAAGGGGCCTTGCATCCTCTGGTGAATAGGCACTGCCTTCCCGGGAGGCTGTGGCATGGAATTGCCTTCCTCCCAGTCTACAATCATGTACAACCAGGTTTTCCTTCTGATTTTCATTGTCCTTGTCTTCTTTGCATCCTAGGAGACTTCACCGTGACCTTCTCCTGGAAATTCTCTCCTCCTTTTGTTTCTGTGGCTCTGCATAAAAAACGAAAAATTCTTCGCTTTAATTGTTCAGTCATGTGTCTACTTACTCATTCACTCATTCATTTCAGAGTGAAATGCCTAGAATCGTGCAGTCCACCAGGGGGCCCTCCTATTTTGTACATCAAATAAAGTAGTATTACCTAACCGGTCCGTCTAGGACTATCTCTGTGTAACTGAAAGTGCTGGAAAGGAATTCCCAAAATAGGGGAGTAAATGTTGAGAGATGGAGAAACCGAGGCATGGGGCATTTAATGTCTTGATTAGAGTCGGACAGCATATAAAGGGCAAAAGTAAGACGGTGAGTGTACTTTCCTCTCTCCGACCTCCCATCTTGGCATGGAGTCCAGAGGGCAGTCCTTCTCATAGTGAGAGTGTCTTCTCCAGGTGTAAGGATCATGGCAGATTAGCCTGTTGCATCCTTGCAGTCGCCAATTTGATTCCCACCTGCCCCCAACCCTTCCAGAACACCAGCAGCGCCATCCAGGAGCAATGAGGGTGGGCCAGCGGCCAGGGAGGCTGGGTCTGCCTGCCAAGTTTCCATCTCAGCTCCTTTCCCAACTCCTCACGGAGGCTCTCCCACACCCATCCCTTGGCAGTGGGACGCCACCATCCTAGCCTGCCTGTAGCTACCCTTTGAAACGGAATTCAAGAGTTTGCAATACCAGTCTCTGCCCTTGCCAATGGGATGGCTGGGCAGCCTGGCCCAAAATAGCTGGGAGAGGCAGAATGTTAGGGCCCCAGAGGGAAAAAATCACAGCGCCGCTAATGACAGGCTGTGCTTATCTGGAACCGAGCGCCTTGCCGACGTTAACCGAGGTCACGTAGTTTTTTCCGAGGATGAGAAAACAAGCAGAGTGAGCACAGGGACATGCCCAGGGAGAGAGAAGGAATTGCCAAACCAGGAAGTGCACAGAATGTGCTGCGTCTGGGCGGGGATTCCAGGGAATGTGCCCCCCTCCCAGCACCGTGAGCCGCTGGGTTTTACGTCCCATGAGCTGCCCTTGTCTGAGAACGTGGAGCCACTGGGGAATGAATGTTCAGGAAGACATTAGGAGTTTGGCTCAGACATCCTTGTGCAGGAGGTATGGGCTCCTAGGGAATTCCAGGATGGGTGTGGCCTACGGCTCTTCTGGGAGTTTAAGAGACCTCTTTGGGCGGGGCGGGCTCATCATTCATCATCATCAGATGGCCTCTGACCCATCTCAGGGCTGATGAAATCTCCCCCAGTCACTGCTGCTGGCTTTGGGTTCTAATTCGTTAATTTCGGTTTTTCACCATGACTCTTGTCCTAGAGCCAGCCCAGACTGCCTGACGGGAAGATATTTGCTGAACTGGGAACATTCCGCCCTGGTTGCCGGGGGCGGGTGGCTTTGGCCATGATGGAGAGAATCAAGCATTGCCAAATCTGTCCTACTTACCACTTTAAAGCAGTAAGGAAGTACCTGACAACGGGCATCAGGGCCCTGGCCAGCTCCATTTGCGTGACATAATATTTCTTTTATTGAGAGCTGACTTTGCTTTCTTTGGGAGCCTAGCCTGGCGA